AACCAGGGCTTTACATCTCGGCTGCCTTGACCGGAGCTGACTTGTCGTGTATGGGCGAGGTCCCGTCCGATTGATTAGACATCCAGGAAAAGCGTGGTCGCCTGAGAGCGATACAGAAGATTTGCATTTAGAAGAAGAAGAAGAAGAAGAAGAAGAAGAAGAAGAAGAAGAAGAAGAAGAAGAAGAAGAAGAAGAAGAAGAAGGAGAAGGAGAAGGAGAAAAAGAAGAAGAAGAGCAAAAGAGAAACAATAAGAAAAACAAGAACAGGGAGAACAAGAAGGAGGAAGAAGAGGAGGAAGTGGAGGAAGAAAAGGAGGAAGAGAAAGGGTTGGAGAAGAGGAAGAAGAACTAGACTGAGAGAAACAAAGACATAGGGTGGTCGACCAGAAGGGAGGGAAGAACATGCAGAGAGAGAGAATGAGAGAGAGAGAGAGAGAGAGAGAGAGAGAGAGAGAGAGAGAGAATGAGAGAGAAAGAGAGAGAGAGGACAGAGGGAGAGAGACAGAGAGACAGAGAGAAAGAGAGAAAGAGACAGAGAGAAAGAGAGAGAGAGAGAGAGAGAGAGAGAGAGAGAGAGAGAGAGAGAGAGAGAGAGAGAGAGAGAGAGGGGGGGGGGGGGGGCAGCCGTCGATAGCTATGTTTCTTGGTTGTTTTTTTCTGGTTTTTCAACGAATTGAGCATTGACAGATTTTTCTTGAGTATCGTTTTACGTTCTCTTAATAATCACTGTCGCATTCTATGAGGACTGGCAGCGAGAGACCTAATCTGTTAGTAAATAAAGTGAGAAAATTGTACCACAATATGTCTCTAAAATCCAATATGGCCGCCGTTTTCATGGTAACCGAATCAGTAATTTTTTTCCACAATTGCTAACAAATGTCCATTGTCATATAATCGTCCACACCAAATATAAGCTCCATAGGAGCAGTATTAGCTGAGATAGACTTATTCTGCTGCACCTCCTCCTGATCTTGGGGTAGGAAAATTTCGGAGGACACGTGTGCAAGTTGCAGTTCCCTTAACTGTCCAAAATCGATAACAGAAGGCTTTGGCCGCCACCAGAGCATAATTAAAAATTATTAATTGCTACCAAACTGAAAATGTTTAATGTGCCCCGCGCACTCAGACGACCTTAATTTAGTTGCACGCGCCGTAAAACACCTTAAAAAAATAAAAATAAAAATAAAATTCCCCAAAACAGCAAATGGAAAACCGCTCAGGGACACGAGAGATCTATATCCCCAAGCGCCCCACTCATATATTACGTGTGTTTCTTGGGTACATAATATTGTCCAACGTTCTCCATGAGATGAGGAATGTACGTGCTTGCAGAGGGTTCTGCCAGACTCCGGGGGGTTGATTATATGAGAAATTATAGAGACGAGGAAACCACGAGAAAAGAGTAAAACAAGAAGAACAAGAAAAGCAATTTAAAGGGAAATATCAGAATCTGGTAATGATAATGGACGAGTGTGTTTTTATACAAAGTAAAGGAGAGAGAGGAAAAAAATAAGAGAGAGAGAGAGAGAGAGAGAGAGAGAGAGAGAGAGAGAGAGAGAGATAGAGAGAGAGAGAGAGAGAGAGAGAGACAGACAGACAGACAGACAGACAGACAGACAGACAGACAGACAGACAGACAGACAGACAGACAGACAGACAGACCAGACAGACAGACAGACAGACAGAGAGAGAGATGAAGAGAAAGAAGGTGAGATAGACAGAAAGATGGACATATATATATAGATATATATATATATATATATATATATATATATATATATAAATTATACACAGAAAGAGAGAGAGAGAGACAGAGAGAGAGAGAGACAGAGACAGAGACAGAGAGACAGAGAGATAGACAGAGAGAGAGTGTGCGTGTGAAAGAGAGAGAGAGAGAGAGAGAGAGAGAGAGAGAGAGAGAGAGAGAGAGAGAGAGAGAGAGAGAGAGGATGGTGGGGGAGGGGGGAGGGGACACGAGTATGTAATTCACTCTGTTTCACAAAGGAACCCGTGTACGCTGAGTATTTTAAATAATTCTTTCCATATTTGGTCGCTTTTAAACACAAGGGGGCTCTCCTGAAAAATGCTATTTTGAAAAAAATCGAAGGTAAAGTTTTTGCTCGTTGTTCAGTTTCTTTGAAAGACGAGGAGGGGTTTTCTCTATAACCAAGCAAATATTAAACCCAACAATGAGATCAAACGTTTCCTATAGGTAGGGTAATGCCCACCTTTGGTGTTGGTAAAGATTTCTGGAGCCTCCCCCGAAATCTTGGTTAGCCTGCTTGTCCTTAAAAAGAACCACTTCTCTCTCTCTCTCTCTCTCTCTCTCTCTCTCTCTCTCTCTCTCTCTCTCTCTCTCTCTCTCTCTCTCTCTCTTTCTCTTTCTCTCTGTGACCCTCACTCTCTGGCATTCTTTAACTTCCAATCCCCATTTGATCTTTCTCTCTCTTTCTCTCTCTCCCTCTTTCCCCCTCCTCTCTGCCCCCCCCCCCTCTCTCTGTCTCTCTCTTCTCCTCTTTCTCTCTCTTTCATTCTTCCTCATTCTCATTCTCTCTTTTTCTCTCTCTTCTTTTGGTTTCTCTCTCACACGCTAAATCATTTGATCCCTTTTCTAATATGCTCCAAGCTTCAAAATATAATTAAACTAGCTTGCATAACAATGAGCTGTATGTTTTAGTTTTAGTAGAGGTTTTACGTTGCTCGCAACTGCATAAGGTCATATGAGCGCCAGAAGATTAGAGGTGTTACAAGAGAATAACAAACATAAAAAAGAAGAAGGGACGATAAGGACGTTAGATGTTTGATAGGAAAGAAGAAGCAAACCGCACCAGAGCCCCCGCCAACCACCCACGCTGTATGTTTATTGGAGAACACGTCTTGATCAATTCTATGGAAACACTCAGAAAGGTTCCGGTGATTTCCTCAAAAATTGTTTAATCTAGATGACTGCATTGTTTCCTCGCCGAAGAATCCTGGGTTTCCTGGCAAAAGAAATTTGGGCTAAGAAGATGTTAAGAAGGCTTTTCTATTTGGAATTCTACAAGTGGAATCCGCAGTTATATTATTGATTTTTCTCCTTTATAAATAAACAAATGAGAGAGAAATATGAACAGTGACTTTGCTCAATACGTCGATAAAATATGCTTAAATTTTTCAGCACTTCGAGGTGAAAGCTCTCTGAAGCGATATCGGGGATTTAACGTAAAAGCGAATTTCTTTGCACCCACAGTAGCCCGAATATGATATAGTTATCTCAGTCTTTACGTACCTCTCTCTCCCACCCACCCACCCTCTCTCTCTCTTTCTCACTCTTTCTCTCTCTCTCTTAATTCCTCCCCTCGTGGTTGGTTGGCGGGTGCTCTGGTGTGGTTTGCCTCTTCTTTCCTATCAAACATCTATCGCCCCTCTCTCCCCTCCTTCTGTTTTGTGTTTGTTACTCTCTTGTAACACCTCTACCCTTCGGCACTTATATGACCGTATTGTGTTGCAAGTGCCGTAAAACTCTTACTAAAACTAAAACAATCCCCCCTCTCTCCCTTTTCTCATCGCGCCATCTCTCTCTCTCTCTCTCTCTCTCTCTCTCTCTCTCTCTCTCTCTCTCTCTCTCTCTCTCTCTCTTTCTCTCTGTGTGTTTGTCATGTAAATCGAATACAGAGTAATGGGGAAGAAAGTGATTGAGAAAGAGTGAGTGAGAGAGAGAGAAAGAAAGACACATAGAGAGTGAGAGAGAGAGAGAGAGAGAGAGAGAGAGAGAGAGAGAGAGAGAGAGAGAGAGAGAGAGAGAGAGAGAGAATTTTTCTGTCAACACATTGTCATGCATCAATGCCAATTTCTATATACGACTTGGGATAAACACAGAGTTACCTAATAGAGTATACCATGTACACACATGCACACGCGCGCATACAGGAACATCGTGCTTACTGTACTTTGCTGAAAATATTACACAATATGGACATCAGGACAGCTGCAGTTTGATGCTGTATCAGGTTGATTATAGAGCAATGTTAGTGAGTGAGAGAGAGAGAGAGAGAGAGAGAGAGAGAGAGAGAGAGAGAGAGAGAGAGAGAGAGAGAAAAAGAGAGAGAGACAGAGACAGAGACAGAGACAGAGACAGAGACAGAGACAGAGACAGAGACAGAGACAGAGACAGAGACAAAGATAGACAGACAGAGGCACAGAGACAGAGAGCGACAGAGAGACAGAGAAAGAGAGAGATAGAGAGGAGGAGAAAAGGACAAAATAAATAATAGACATATACACTGACTTATAGATAGGCAGACAGACAGACAGACAGACAGACAGGCAGAGAGACAGACAGACAGACAGAGAGACAGACAGACAGGCAGACAGACAGACAGGCAGATAGAGTTACGACTTTTACACAGTTACTAGTGAGATGATTAAGAGGTTACAACTTTTTAAACAACTGATGCAAGCTGCCCTCGTTATTTCTCCTCCCATCTATGAGTCAGTGGGCCACATTGTTCAGTTAAAATTTCTTCCTGAAGTTGGAGTAAAAGGAAGCATATCGACCCTGTATGTCTGTCTGTCTGACTGTCTGTCAGTCTCTCTCCCTATCTCTCTTTCCCTCCCACTCTCTCTCTCTCTCTCTCCTCTCTCTCTCTCTCTCTCTCTCTCTCTCTCTCTCTCTTTCTCTCTCTCTCTCTTTCTCACTCTCTCTCTCTCTCTCTCTCTCTCTCTTTCTCACTCTCTCTCTCTCTCTTGTTTAATATTTGTAATAGGAAAACCTATTATACTGAAGTATTTTTGTGTTACAATGCTCATAAAAAGAAGAAAAATATAATAGTAATAGTATAATAATAATAACATAATATATAAAACAACCAACAAAAACAGATTCGCACAACACCTACGTCTTCACGCCTGCACTTTCGTTTGCTCCTAGGTACACAGAATGGAATGCCCGCAAAGTGGATCATAGAAAATACTATGAAAACCTGAGCAGATGGGTTACTGGAAAAGTCCCGGACAAATACTTTTTCTATTTTTGGTTGTTTTATTATTTTTTTCCTACATAATACCGACAGGAGAAATGAGTTGTCGAACCTTGTTCGTCGAGGTCTATCAGATCTGGAATAATAATAATAATAATAATAATAATAATAATAATAATAATAATAATAATAATAATAATATAATAATAATAATAATAATAATACTACTAATAATAATGATAGTAATAATAATAATATAATAATAACAAGAGCATAAAGCGGGTTTTCATGCTGTACAGCATGCTCTATGCGCTGTATGATAATTAAGATAAAGAAATTTTCTGAAACGTCAGTTCAGCCTTGACGCTGTATCAGTGCTCATCGACATGTTCGGCTAAGCCATTAGCTGTCCATGATTGACCAATGATTTCATCCTGAGCCTTGACCGCTGACTGACCGGTATCGAGCGGACTGCTATAATAATATTGCTATCGGGAGCTTTGCAATACCCGAGTCGTCATCGAGCGGTTTGCTATTGGAAAACTTCACGATACCCGAGCTGTCATCGAGCGGTTTGCCATCGGACACTTTGCAATACCTGAGCCGTCACGGAACGGTTTGCACAGCTACAGCTAAAACAATGTAACCTGACAGCTATCTGCTTTGTCAATACAGTGGAATTAGGGGATGGTTGATAAGTGCCACTGGTTTGTCTTACTCCTGATGTATTTTTATTTGTTGTTTCTGTCTATATTTCTTGCTTTTCTCGTGACCTAAAAATCGTTATTGTGTCTGTCTGTTTATAAAGTTAACTGCCGTTTTAAAAAAGATCGGTCAGTGGTGATAGGGTTGTAAGCCTCACAGAAAGAGAAAACACGAAATGTTCTTCGTTTACAAAGTCTGTATTACTAAAGATAATAAAGACTAATGTGTTTGCCATTTAACTTGTCTGTTTTAAATGGAACACATGTTATTGCTGAGTATCCTCGGTCTTTAAACTAATCCTTTGTGTTATTTTAAATTTTCGGAAAACAGTTGTGCTAGTTGGTATTTTGATTTGCATCCATTTCAGACTACACAATGTGCAATTGTCACAAGTTCTTTACATCGAAATGAATTGATTAATAAGTAAAAGAAAATATTCATTTTTTATCATTTTTTGAACGTGTTTTACGGCGCTCGCAACTGCCTAAGGTCATATGAGCGCACGAGAAACATTAAGCATTTTAAGTTATAAGGAATTTTGAATTTTGCCTGGGTGGCGACCGAAGCCTACTCTTATCGATTCTAGACCACGAAGGGATCTTTAACGGGCAAAAATTGCCACACGGGACCTTCAAGATTATTCGTACTTTCCAGAGAAGGTTAGGTGTAGAAAGACAGCAGTCAGAAGGAGCCAAGGAGTAGCAGTAGAAAAGGCTGCAGAAAGAGCCACAAGCGCAGAGGAGGGGGCAAAAGAGGTGAGGGGGTGGGGGTAAAAAGAGGAGACGAAATCAGAAGACGAAACATTGTTAAAGAGCACGACAGGAGGTGAAAGGAGACAATTTTAGAGAGGAAAAATTTCCCGTCGCTTTTCGGATTTGAAACCGGGACCTTTTAATAAGAGGCGAACACCTTAATCTCTAGGCCACGAGAGCCCCCAATCTTTGATCTGATATAAATCATCAACACTGAGAGTCAAGAATGGCTTAAACAAATGAACATACAGAAGCAGCAATAACGAAAGCAAATGGTATATTGTTGGACAAAACCTTCTCATTTCAGCTTAAAACCACAATTGCAGTTAGGAAGCTATTCGCCAGAAGAGAGGCTTTAACCCCAATTGAGTGAAACACTATAGGCCAAATCTCCTTCAAAATAGCAAAGTACCGTATCAGTATAGATTGTGTTCAGATATGCTTTCTGAGCCTTATTGAAGACGCTGCAAAGGTAACGGTAGTTTATCTGTATGATAGTGGTTAGGCTACCGGGCTCGTACTCTTTGGATTACTGTTTCGGGGTTCGAGCGGCGGGCCCGACGTTGTCTCCTTGGTAAAGGTACTTTACACGAATTTTTCTCACCTAACCCAGGTGGGAATGGGTATCTGTCTATAGACGGCGAAATATCTTGTCAGTTTGTTAGTGTTGTAGCGCCTATAAATGGCGCTTGCACTGTTTACTTACCAGGAAGTTGAGATTGTTTCAGAATGCTATTGGGTCTGCTGGGGTAAAAATATAGATTTCAAAGTAATAATAAGCCAAGATAGCATTTGTCTAGCGCAAATTCTCACTCAACAGCAAGCTCTATGCGTGTCACAATCTAGAGCTTGCTGTTGAGCGGAAATTTTGCGCTATACAAATATTATCGTATTATGGAGGAGGGGGGAAGCGTTAAAGATAGAATCTGTGTGTGTGTGTGTGTGTGTGTGTGTGGTGTGTGTGTTTGTGTGTATTGTCAAGTCAACCGTTTTAGTGATCAGGTGACTTAGTTGGGTCGGGAGAGAGGGGGATGGTGGTGGGGCATGGAAGGAAACTATTTCGTACGACTGTGATGACTGGGTGGACTTTCTACAGTGCATGTTATCTTATTATCTATTGGATCAGATACCAATGTAACGTACATTTAATTCGATTTGTCAAAAAGTCTACAAAGATTAAGACACTGACAGCGGAAGAAATTGAGACGCGTCTCTGAATTATTTAATGCTGAGCTTATAATACTTTTCATGATTAGTGGTAGACGTTTAAATCGCCTTCAGAATAATGATAAGTAACGATTTTCCGGAACATTGAAAACTTTGCTCTGATGCCATGAAAAGAAAATAGATGAGCCACCAGGCATGTCTCCGTCTTCATAAGTGGAAACGAAGAACTTTTGACAAACGCAATATTAGAAATTCCATTTAAGAAAAACACAAAAAAACGAACAACAACAAAAAACAAACAAAGAGACCCAAAAAAATAAAAATAAAACCAAACAAACCCCCCCCCCCCCTATTAATTAATAAAATGCCACTTCTTCGGGTTTACAATGATACACAGATATACACATAGATAAATCCATTTTTATAAAATTTGGCCACCCTATGTCACAAATGTTTGAATGATAATGCACCATCATATTTATCAAATCTGTTAAGACTGTACTTTCCAACTCGCAGTTTAAGGTCATCAGCTGACAGAAGAAATTTATTTTACCATCTATGAAACTTAAAACAATGGGTGAGATGGCATTTGAATACTATGGCCCCAAGATCTGGAATGCTTTACCAAGTACTTTAAGAGAGATTTATTCAAATGTCACCTGAAGTGGTTTCTGTTTTTAATTTAATGCGAGTATTTAATTTAATTTAATTTAATGCGAGTATTTTTATGGAATAATTTTCTTTTAGTCAGACCGCAACGTTTTATGTTACTGTTGTACGTTGTACAGTGTTGTAAAGCGCCCTGAGCCTGTGTACTTTAATCGGGGTTTAGCGCTATCTAAATTTCATTTATTATTATTAT